TTGACTTCTACTATTGTTAAAGCCTCCTCTTTAATGATTAGCAAAATGAAAAATAAATTTTGTATTTATACCTACTGTATTTACGTCTCACTTTATTGTTCAGTGGTTGTTTTAAGAATTATTTACAAAACAAACTGGCTTCTACTGAAATAATCAGACGATGCCAAAATTCTTTGTATGCTGCCAATTCAGGAATATGCTGTACACGCCGCTACAAAAGAATGTTAAATGCTAAAAATAGCCTATTGGCTTCATCGGTGAGAAACACATGTGCTGTGCTGCAGCGAAGTGCTGTTTTCTATGTACTGTATTAATCACGTTTAAATTTAATTTTAATTTAGATATTGATTATATTATAATCATTAACTTTAACGATATCTGTTGTTTACTTTCTGTTGTGTGATATAACAACAATACTATTAACCCACGCTTGGTTCACCTCACAATCAGTTGAACTTGTCTTGTCTCGCACATGGTTAACACTAATGCCCCACGATTTAACATTTTTTTTCTGCATGAATGAGCATGATTTAGTCCTACTGGTGCAGTTAATTAACAATTATCCTGCCCATGGGGACGTACTTCTACTGTTAATTTCTCAATAAAGGGGGTATGTGTTTTAAAGCATTTACAGTTAAAAAATCATTGATTTTAGATTAGAGCAAGATGTTTCATGTTTAATTGTGTTTCTAAATTCCTAACGTTATAGTGGTGGCTAGCAGCCTGTCACTTCTAGTTGAAAATTTAGTGCTGGTTGGGGCCGACCGCTGCCCACTAGCACGGTGAGAACCTTGTATTCAAACCGAATTAACATGGAATATATTATTCCTTAATCACTACACTTGTCACATTAAAATTACCAAGCGTGATGTTTGTTTGGTTTTATGCAATTAATGGTTTATCAATTTGTGAATGTTCTTTTTTCATTTTATTACTTAGAATACTAGTTCATGTCCACATACTGCCCAGATTACTATAATAATATAGGCTTATACCGAGGGACCAGTAAATGCTAGTACAGTAGAACCCCTCATTTACGTACGGGACGGGACCAGAGGCGTTTGTAAAAATCATTCGTACGTAAAATCGGGGTTGTGTGAAATTCCTATGTATTTACACTACCGATATGCTAGGCTGGGCTTGGCCTGGACTGGAATTTTGTTGGATTGGAGCCAAAACTCCAACTTGTGCTCGAAAGAAATTCAAAATAATGATCATAATAATGTACAGTACTATACATACTTGTTAATGTGTATACAAACTTTATTTTCTCTTTCTCAGGGAATAATATAGGACTATGACTTATCTTCTAGCTTACGAAGAAACACAGCCCTTTGGGCACCGCAACAGGGCGAGTGTTTTTTTTTTTACTCGATCCACGTGCTTGTGGCGTCAAGTAAATACACCTGTACAGAATAACCAGGAAACCAGAGGTTCACAACTTATTAAAAGAAGAGCGCTAATTGGCAGTAAACACCGCGCTTGTACTTTTTTTTGTATGCAATACGATTGTTCTACGTCTACATTAACATTTATGTAATGAATAATAAAGTTAAAAAGAAAATATGGGTGTCGGTGTCTTATTTTATGGGGGAAATAATGAAATGGTAGATTAACGTTAGTGAGATTTGATAAATAAAATCCATTTTTAATTAGGGGGTTCATTAAGTTAGGATATGAGGGTGGTGTATTCAGAGATGAATACATCATGCGCCTATCGATATGCCGACAACTTACGCATAGGGCGGAGTTTTTTCACGGCTGCAGACATGAAGTATGATCGCCGTGTTGAATGTCGGTGTATTTAAACCGCTCTATCTGCGCTTTGTATTGTAGTAGAGATCTGATGTAGTGCTGATAGTGTACAGCAAACCATCTAAGACCGAGTGAATAAACTCCAGCACATGTATGTGTGTTTTGTACATGAAATAGGAACTTTATTTATGACAACAATAACATGATTTTACATTCGGAAAATCGGGAATTCGTAAAATCGGGGTTCGTAAATGAGGGGTTCTACTGTACTAGTAGTCGCTAATACTTTTAAAGAACAAACATTACTGTATTAAACAGATTAATATGATTTACTCTAAAATTACTACAATATTCACAAAACTGAATAGAAACATGTGTCTAAATTTCAATCTTTATTGTAGTAGTTGATCTTATGTCTATCTCTAATGTTTCTTATTAAATTAATCACACAAAATAAAACAAAATTCTATGGTTAAAAAAAAAAAAATTCTAATTGATTTAATCCTTTAAAACTTTAATTTTTTGAAAAGAAAAAAGGTCCCTAAAACTAGTTCCTCATCAGGGAGAGGGAGAGAATATGAATAATTGAAATTAATGGTAAATTCAAAGGCCTGTAGATTATATGATAGTGTGAAAATTAAAATGCTGATCCCACAGTTTTAACGAAAAATGGACACAGAAGGAAAGGGTATGGAAACACTATATTAATGAGCATGTGTAGCAGCATATATGGCCCTGGTACAGAAAGATGGAAAATGGTGCAGAATAAACACAACAATGACAAAAAAGTAGCTAACTCAATAGGTCTGTTTGAGAGGCTGAATTGAGCATTTAGTTTGGGGTTTGTTGATTAATCTAGGCATATTGAACTGGTAGTTGCAAAATACAACCACTTCAGCTGCAGGGGCATGGCTTGTATGGTGATGTCAAGCATAATTATACTGTCTACCTGAAAACAGTCACAAATACACAGCGAGCAGGCTGAGTCTGAGGCTTAGTTTTGTGCTGCTAGCTGCTGGAGTCGGGTGACACACGATCCGGCCCAACTAGTGTTGACGATCGTAGGTCTAGTCCTGGATTATCTTGACCAGCAGCCTCTTCAGTAGAGACCTAGCCTAGGCCTAGTCCATCTACCCAGTCCTGCTGTTGTCTGAGGCCTCGTTTACGATAAGTTAGGCCTCATTTATGATAAGCTAGGCCTATGCAAAATCTGTTAGTACAGAGACCCTGGCCAGGCCCCTCAGAATCCCATACTGAATATTATTAATTATTATTTAATAAATAACTTTTATGCAATACAAATTACAATACAGATATGGGAAAGTTAATATACTTAATTGAATTAAACATGGAGGTATTTATTTCATACCTCAACAAATTAAATATATATTAACTTTCCATCACTCTTTTTTTCCCCTAGAATATGCTATGCCTAGTCACGCCAATTTTGTTTAAAAGCAGTACAACGATAAAACTAATAAATCTAAACTTTAGCAATCATGCTGTAAAATTTGCAATTTTAATTTAGTAGGCCCATTGTCTCCTTCCTTCCAGTAAGATAAATGCTCATGCGACTAAAATTGGAAAATTCATAGTCTATGTATTGTAGTAGTATTAGTATTATTAGACCATTGATTGTTTTCATTTCTTTCTGTGATTATTACGGCCAAACCTCTACCCCTAAAATAAGACTAACTATTATGCATTATTTCACTCTGTGTACTGTAGTCCCCAAAAAAACAACCACACAGGGACAACTTATTATTTTTTCTTATATTGGTTGTTCGGTACTTTATTTTGCTATGCCGTGTAATTACAATACCAGGACTCACTTTGTCGAGATTAGGAATGAAGACAGAACTACAGCTGAAATTATGCTTGACATTACCATAAGAAGCCAACTACAACCTACTAAATAGATAAGACACTACACCTATTAAATAACAGGTAAGAAAAGACAAAAACAACGATCTGCGAAGCCTAAATGTATCTTTCCATAAACAAACCAGTAAATGGAATGATAATCATCCACAAAGTTTAATAATAATAAGACACCCAGAATAAAACAGATGAACCTGAACTGATCAATTTTAAATGCTGTGGATACAAATTTACGCAAATTTGAGTTGTTTATTGGTGAAGCTACAATAGCTTGACTTACCATAATATTGTTGTATTTTAAGAGTATGTGTGTGGCTATTTAAATAGCACTATAATTTCCATGTAGTTATAATCAGTTATAATATTTAGCCTATTGATATGAGCTGTGCGTAAGCTTGAATATTTTATGTACAAAATGAAGTACTATTTATACTCTTTGCTAACCTGTTAATGTGAAATTCGTTAGTTAAATACTGTAATATGTATATTTGTTTTTGTTTTCAATTGTATCTGTACATGTGCATGTATGAGTTTAATATCTATACTGTATTTATTACTATGACATATTACTATTATTATTATTGATACCATCGTCAAACAAACACAGTATAGTATAAGTCCCTATTGGTTTGTTTGCTAATATTATTGGATGTAAATAAGCATTGTTTTTATAATACTACAAACCAAGAATACCCATTTGTTTATCTGACCGAGTCACATTTTTCCACAACTACAGCTTGCCAGAAAAATAACCATTTCCAATGTTAAATTTCAAAAAATTAATGTTTATATTATAAAAACCATAGCCTAACCAAAGGTAAAAACAGTGACTAATTATTATTAATGCCAAGTATGTATTCACAAGCAAACATCAACTAAGTTACATGGATTTGCTAAATGTTACAATTTGAAAGAGGAAAATAATTATTAATCAGATATGTTTGTATTGAAAACAAATGAAGGTAACTCAGGGTTGCATCGTTGAGCAGCAGGTAGTGATGTCCACATCAGATCTTCTTCCTTCATAAACAGTTGGTGAAGCCTTCATTTATTGGTCTTACCTTTTCTGCCAGGCATCGAAAAAGTTACCTTCATTTTTTTTGTTCGTGTTTGATTAATACAATATTGTATGTTGGCCCTAAATTGCTTCTGATGGAAATTCCATGGCGAAAAAAGAGTGCTTTAATCAAATTAATTTGGAAAAAATTATTAATCTTATTTACTGATCATGTGAGTATGCATCAGCTTGGTTGGTTTGTCAGAGCAGGTCAAAGAGGCTAGTACCTAAACTGATTGAAATAATTTTGATCTTCATCATGTCAAAACACTCTTTATTCGTGATGGAATTGCCTTGTTTTACTTACTCTGTAGGAAATGCAGGATCATACTCCTCAGTCATTATGTCTCGTTGTCTATTCTGATTACCAGTATCTATCAATCGATGCTTTTGAACTCTCTTGGTGCTAGGCCTCCAGTCTCAATGTCTAGGCCTACTCATCGGAGGTGTGGTGGTGCAGTAGAGTCGGCTCCACGCTCTGCAGCTAGCTTACGCTGAGTTGTCGCCCGTCAGAAACCAGATCAAGCCTGACAAATGAACTTGAAATTTAAAAGGACACGACATAACAAAAAAAAAGAATAGCTAAAAAATATTAAAATCTTCAAGACGGTAGTGTTTCCTACACGGATCCAGGGATGCCTGCATAAAACCAAAATAGTTGGATTATACTGTAAAATTATTGTTTCCAATATTATTCTTGCAAATTACCTTCCCAGCGAAGCACAAACACAAACCTTCCACGCTCTTGATCATTGCCACAATAATGACCTTCACAGCCTCACTATCAAAACCCCGCGACCTAAGTGAACCACGTGGTCCAACAACAGAGGGCACTATTTATATTTTTTTGCTCTCTTTTTACGGGATTTCCCCTCAAAACAGCAAACAGGTGTTCATTTTTCAATAATATTAATGAAATATTACCACTAATTTTTCTTCGCTAAATTATTATGTATAAAACAATACATTATTCATTGAGTATTACTTGAAAATATTGTCCTAATTGGAAAACCCAATGTGTATACTAACTTCGTCTCATAAATCATCGCAATCAATGGTAGTGGTTTCAAATCTTCATGGGGACAACACGTTTTTTCCTCCAAAAATGTATTATCAATTGGTAAAGCATAATGGTAATCGGATGTTCATGATCGAATCTTCATGTCGTGAGTTCGAATCTTCACGTTGTTTTTTTTTTTTCAAAATGTATTATAATTTATTAGCGTACACCCTCTTTAATTAAAACTGAATAACAGCACGTGATATTTAGAGTCGATCTACTATGTTGGTGGTTTTTTTTTTATTTATTTTTTTTTAATGAAAGTATTGAAATTCGCATTACATGACAGTGGACCGTGTTGTGCACAATGACAATAAATCGATCTTGTATCTTGTCATAGTTTTATACACAAACAAAAGTAATGTAGCTAAGATATCTGTATCTGTATCTAAATAATACATTCAAAACAGTGAAAGCAACTCGCAATTTCTGCAGTCTCATTCAGAGCCTAGCAGCACCTGATGTTTGAAAGGCAAATGTCATCATGACCATAGGCGTGTCACAAGTTTTTGTCAAACAAAATTTAATAGTCTAGACGGGGCTTAATGTAAAGTAAACTGGTTGCTAGTAGCAGTACAGAAGATGTGTATAAGAGACAGTAATTATATAGGCCTATGCTACTGTATGCCTACTATAGAATAAACGTCCCATTATCTCAGGGATTACGTTTCATATCCAGCCAAATCACGTACAGTCTATATGCAGTAACTAATGTCGGATCCAGGTGAACTGATTGATTGATTATTGATTGATTGATTGGTTATTGATTGATTGATTGATTGATTGATTGATTGATTGATTGATTGATTGATTGATTGATTGATTGATTGATTGATTGATTGATTGATTATTCGTTCGAATGATCGATTGACTAAAGTAATAATTGATTTTTTTTTATAAGTATTCAATTTATTACTTTGTCTTGTGGTGTCTATTAATAGTACTAATTAGGCACTCTAGTAATCGCGTCTACACTGATCAGTCACGGCTTATTGTATTGGTTTTCTCAGTATTGGCTATTGGCTGATGTGCGTCCTCTTCAGACTGGGAAATACAGAATAGTAGTTTCCATTTCCAGCCGCATATAATTTGCCCAAAAATAAACATTCCGCTGCTCTCCGCTGCGGGTTGGTTGGTTGTTGTGTTTGGTTGATGGAGATTTGTTATTTGTTTCAATTTCGCTGAATGAGTTATTTTATCAGAAATATCAATCAAGAAGTGCTGTAAGGTAATTTTAATTGGTTTCCAATTTTTATATGATATATCATTTAGGATTATGTCGGCAAGATATCACCCGAATAAACGATAGCAATTTGATGCTTGGATGACGTGTTTGAGTGTGCGTCAGCGAGCTCTACGTGCAGGCCTAGATGTACTGAATGGAATGCTGAATCAAGTTGTTAGACATGTTACTAGTTAGGCCTAGGGCGAGGCCTAGCTTAGTTAGGTAGCTAGATCCCGGACTAGCCGTGACATTTGTTGGAACTCACACTAAGCCTTGGCCTCTCTAAAGGCTTACCTGTGCCAGTATATTATGAGGTAATGTCAATGATTATATAAAAAATATAATCAATGATTATAATTATAGAAAATAAGTGCTGATACCACACAGATTTTGCACAAAAAGTTAGGCCTTGCCCTATTTATAACCAATGTATTACACATTAGTTACGATTCCCCACACATTAGTTTTTCAATTTCAAAATGTATAACCTTGGGGGGGTACATAACCAGCGACATCTCAAAATATACAAAAATATATTAAAATGGTTTCAACCTAGTGATTTTCTGAGCAAATTTAAATGGTTTCTGGACAGAACGGCAAAAAACAAAAATGGCAATAATAAGTCAGAACGGCAATGACCAAAACGGCAAAAAACCAAAACGGCAAAAAACCAAAACGGCAACACTTTTCAACCAGAACGACAATAAGTCAAAATGCAATAAGTCAAAACGGCAATAAGTCAAAACGGCAAGACCAAAACGGCAATAGGCCTAAGTCAAAACGGCAATAAACCAAAATCACACTATAAAAGCAGTAAATATTTAAATAATTAAATCTTTAAAATACAGACAAAATGAGGCTAAACAATTATGTCAAAAGTAAAAAAGCACGAAAGAAAAAAAACCACTATAATAATAATAATAGTAATAATGGTAATAATAATAATGATGATAATAATAATAATAATAGTATAACATACAAATTCAATAGCTAAACAATTTATGTCCTAAAAGTAAAAATGTGCGAAAGAAAAAAATAATAATAAATAACACTTTAAAGACCAACATTAATAATAATAATAATAATAATAACATACAATACAATTCAATAGTAAAAAGATTGGGGGAACACAATGTAATATATAAAATACAAAAGCAGTGAACATTTAAGTAATTAAAACCTTAAATTACAGATAAAATGTGGCTAAACAATATTATTCCATGAAAGTAAAAAACGGGAAAGAAAAAAAAAATAATAAATAATAAATAACACTTGAAAGTAATATATAATATGTGTAAAAAAAAAAAAACATAAAAAACAAAACACGATTCAGAAAATTATAAACTGCTCACTGCGCGCGCCCAGTGGCGCTTCATTCTTGGCATTGATTTTTGCTCCTTTGCCGTTTTGGTCTATGCCTATTGCCGTGTTGGTAGTTGTCATTGCCGTTTTGGTCTGTTGCTGTTTTGGTACTTATCATTGCCGTTTTGGTTCATTGCCATTTTGTTTTTTTGCCGTTTTGACCTGCTCCCATTTAAATACTATACAAATCTGATTATATTTATATAATGATCAAATTTATTTAATATTATTGTAAACTAATTAATGTTGTGAATTAATTAATGCCATAATTTAAGGTTTTACTGCAGTACAGTAAATGACAGACACCTAGACTCTCCACACAATATAACATCTATGATGATGAACTCTGACCTCAATTTAACTAATAAATTTGAAATTTGAATTGTTAGTATGAATTTAATCCAGCCCTTAATATTAAAGCAATGAGATGTTACTAATTTCCATTAGTACTTTTGATAAAAAGAAGAAATGAAAACTCTGTTGTGGCTATATTTTGTAATAATTATTATTATGTAGGCCTATTATAGACCATTTTCGCGAAATTTGAAATTAAAATTTCTGATAACCTGGCAACTTTCAGAGGCCTAGCATTTCGCTCTACGTAGTTACCATCATGGATCAAATCAACGATAAACATAAAACTAAATTACTAACGAGCACGAATATTATAAAACGGAAAAAGCACGAAATGTTTATATAAAAAACAAATCCAAATCTTAAAAAGCTATTTCAATATTTAATATACAGTAATTAGCAAGATCGTATCTGTTGTCTACCGCTGCTATAGAAAAGGTTTAGCAGAGCTATCTGCTGCGTAGTGATCTATTTGTAACTAGCCAGCTGCTCAGACTAGGCCTCTGGAAGTCCCCCAGTGAGTTGCGAGATGTTGGTGGCGCTGTTTCAAAGTAAATGAGATAAAATGGTGTATACTGTGCGTGTCGCTGATTTAGGATGGTAAGCAGTGGTATGCGCCTTTGAATGCTGTCCTTAAGTAATATCCAGGCTATTAAATTAAAAAATCTTGGGACAAAAAACTGATGTATGCCCATATATAGTCATGAAATGCCTGTATATGGTCATGATGTGATGTCATCATGACCATAGGCGTGTCACAAGTTTTTGTCAAACAAAATTTAATAGTCTAGACGGGGCTTAATGTAAAGTAAACTGGTTGCTAGTAGCAGTACAGACAATATTATGCAATATTTATAGTTAGATTTTCAGTAGGTCCCTGGATAGATTCAACTTACACTTTCATTTCCGTACACCTAAGTAGTTCATAAACCAGGCCATTTGAGTTTCGTTTTATCAAGAATGCAAGTTTTAACATTCACTAACAACAGATATATTTGGATTTTTTTTTAGAATGCTTACCTGTAATTTTCTCCCCTCCTCCATCCAGGTCCCCCATCACACTTTCCGTACTCCATTATTTTAGGCAGAGTCAAATATCCCTTCCAATCCCAGGGTCTTGGGTTGGGTTTTTTTTTTTTTTTTTTGTTATCTAATATGACCAAAACTACGCCACTCCCTATTAGATTCATAATGAGACTTGGTGTATATAGAGCATCCTTTGTGTAGTGCTATGTAATGCATGTAGTGTTATTGGTGTTTATAGTTCATGCATAGCATCTTGTGTCTTATTTTTCTTGTCTTGTGTAATTCATTATGCTGTTGAATTATTTTAAAAAAATCTTTTAATTTTGTCTATTTATCAGTTTGACACTTTGTGATTACTAAAGAATGCATACAATTTACATACTATTGTTTTAAAGCCTACATAGAATTTATTTACTGTAAAAAGACCATGTGGAAGGAAACAGTTGATTATTGCTACCCACATATTTTTTTTATCTTCCTCATTTTCTGCTTTTTTTAGCTTCCTCATTTTCTGTTACCAGGTAACAGGTAACATTTTCTGCATTGTTTATTTTTTATTTTCCAGACAATGGGTTTTGAAGTGCATAGATTTGAGGGTGATGTCGATGAAGAATTAATTTGTCCGATATGCAGTGGCGTTTTAGAGGATCCAGTTCAAGCACCCCAGTGTGAACATGCCTTCTGCAGTGCATGTATTCAGGAATGGCTGTCTCGACAGCACACATGTCCTGTAGATCGCAATCCAATAACTCCCCAACAATTGAAGCCTGTTCCTAGGATTCTACGCAACTTATTGGCCCGGTTACGAATTGCATGCGATAATGTTTTATTTGGCTGCAAAAAAATTGTCAAGCTCGATACACTTATGCAACATTTGGATGAGTGCGAGCACAACCCGAAAAGACCTGTACAGTGCGAGTCTGGCTGCGGAATGGTAATCCCCAAAGATGAACTCAAAGAACATAACTGTGTGAAAGAACTTCGTCATTTAATCAAAGAGCAACAAGAGAAGCTTGCAGATTATCACATTGAACTGTCAGACTTACGTCGTTCACAGAATGATAATAAAAGAGAAATCCAAATGTTAAAGGAATACATACGTGCTATCCGGGTTGCGAACCCAAGTAATAGCCCTTCTATTCGTGCTATTGAGGATGAGATTGAACAAAACGAAGTTCTACGATGGGTTAACTCTCTGCCGCTTGCGAGAGTGACACGCTGGGGTGGGATGATTTCAACACCAGATGCTGTGTTACAAGCTGTCATTAAGCGATCTCTGATAGAAAGTGGTTGTCCAGCACATATTGTCACTGAACTGATGGAAAATGCGCACGAAAGAAAGTGGCCACCTGGCCTTAGCACTCTTGAAACACGTCAGATGAACCGTCATACGTACGAACAGTATGTGACTCGTCGAATACCAGGCAAGCAAGCAGTCGTTGTGATGTCGTGTGATAATGCACATATGGGAGAAGACCTGACCCTTGACCCAGGACTTGTGATGATATTTGCTCATGGTATTGAATAAACTTCTGTTTAATTGAAATCAAACTGATTCTGAAATCATGACATTATCCCCAACAGGTGTACCATGGTCTTATGTCATCCCCTGCCATGATTGTGGGGTATGATTATCCCTACCATTGGGGTGAGGATTTCCTTTCAAGAGTAAGGATATTTTCTGCACTGAGCTAAGGATATATAGGGGCTGGTGACCTTAAATGTGTGTTCAACTTCGACACAATGAATTTATTATATCCATTTATTTAACTGTGAAATTTTATATTATTACTCTGTATCATATGGATTATATTTTTATTATAGAAGTTGAAAACAACCAATTTCAGAAGTCAGCTTAAATTCATTATCGTGTGTGTATCTGTAGCACACATTTGGTGCTCATATTAAGGATGCATCTTGTAATAATATGACCAAAAAATAATGACATACAACTAGCTCATTATGTACTACTGTAATGCCAGTAGGTGATGGGGTAAGGCAAAACTAATATTTATGGAATTCTGGATGTCTGCATTGTAAATATAGCTTATGTGCTGCTGAAATCAGCTACAGTAATGTACAATCATTTACAAGGTATTAAAATACATTATTTTTGTGTTGGAAGCACAGTGGCGTATCTAGGGGTGCACGGGGAGGCGAATGCCCACTCAAAAAAATTTACTCACACCCAACAGTTCCCCCCCCCCAACCAAAAAAAAATCGTGCAAAATTACCTTATTTTGCGAGCTAGCACCCCTCACCTAATCATCGAGACCCCCACATGACCTTGCGCTCCCCCATCAGCCCCCCTCCCCTCATTTCAAGACTCCAGTCCTAGTTATGCCACTGTGGAAGCAGGCATATATGAAGTTAATATAGATTTTAAAAGTACATGGTACAAACATATAGCTTCAAGATAATTAGTTGCAGATGAAAGTAAAGCGTCCATAAGGTTGTGTACAGTATAGGGTATTTGCTCATATGTGTCAATATAGTCAGTAATAAGTTATTTAATTTTAAGATTATTTTTATAGATGGTTCACTTCAAGTGGGTAAGGCTGATATATCAAACAGAAATTATTGATACAAGTACACTGGTTTACTCAGAAAGGTAGTTGTGTATTTGGTGTAATATCCTTTTTATACTGTAGGTACAGGCATGCAGGCTTGCAGTTAATGTGTCCCGACAATTTTAAGGATAATGTCAATGGAATAGACTGAATATATTGTTTGCTGCAGGATAAATTTGAATTACATATTGTGTTTAGAAGGCTGATTAGCTTAGCAAGTTTATAGAATACTTACTGGTTGTTGTTATTGAAAAGGTGCTTGCTTGACCAATCAACTTGACTGTACTATGGAGGTATTGTTATAATTCCTACGATTATTATACTATGGACCTACAGGTAGGCTTCTTCTTGTTAAATGCTCTAGTTTCTATGCCACCATCCTAACAGTAGTAATAAGAGCTTAGTCTAAGCTACCCTTTGCACACATGGTAATAATGCTGATGAGGGTCCTTTGTGTTTTTATCTCCAATGGTACAGTAAAAAATTTCATGGTGGGCCAGTACCAGTAGTTAAGTTTTATACCTGTAGAGCCATGTGGGTCACTCATGAAATAGTCTGTATTATCATTGACAGATCCCATATTCCCCCATGGTGGGAATATTTGGGATGGCGATCCAGACTGCCTTAACCCCAACCCCAACATGGTTAGGACTGAGAGGATACAAACATGTTACAGGTATGTCAGTGGCACCTAAAGAATAGAAATATCACTTTCCAACTTAAACTTTGAATTCAGTTCCCCCTCCTCCAGTTTTAAAAAAAGTAGCTGTATGAGCCAGCTGCCCTACCCCTGAATGCACCTGTGAGTTACTCCTATAACTGGGATTTTGCAATTTAGGGCCAATTTATTGAGGTAGTTAATATATATATGTTGGATTATTTATTATCATGCTATGGTTTAGAGTTAAATGGTCAAAGTTTTATCCTATAAATCAAATACAAATATATACAGTGACCCATAATATGTGAATACTATATTAGTGCCTATTGCCTGAGTAGATATATAAATTTGCATTATTTTTACTGGTATAGATTACTAGTGCATGTCCTTATTGATATACTGGTGTTATAGTACATGTACCAGCATTATACTGATACATTGTATTAAATTACTATTCACTGTTTTCTTCTGATTACCATTATTATAACTAATTCAATGGGATTAATTACGTATACTTGAACCTCCTTGTACTTATCAACATGATTAAATTTATTTAAATTAATTATATGTTCCGTTGTATGATAAAAAAACCATACAAATACATAATATTAAGACATAGTTTTAAAACAAGTTCTCGTGATCTTGAAAGCTCTGATGAGGGCAGTATAATAGAGGTAGTAGAGTATATTGGCCCTAACGGCCGCCCATGCAAAAAAGATCTATTAATCAATCAGATTAATCAATCAGCCAAGTGTTTCTAGAGCTCCTCACCAGAGCCAAAAAGGTAACAGGGATGGTTAGTCAAAGTGAGAGCGAGACATTGTAAACTTCCCCAGAAACTAGCCTCCATGGTCTCACAGACGCCTAAAAATTTTAAGCACCAACAATTGAACTTGCAATTCTGGATTTACTCTATGTTTTGCCAGGATAAAAATTCAGTGTATCCCAGACATGCAGTAGCACTCACCAGTGTTGAAATTAGTTATGCACTCAAATATTAAACATGGTAAACATGATATGTTATGAGTACTGTATAAGTAATTAAGTCATGCTTTTAAATGCATGATATCTGTGATAGTATCACACTGTACATGATCCATGAATCCTACCTCCTATTTTATTCATGTTAATTACATTTTGTTGTAAAATTTAAGTGCAGGATGATGTCATTGTAAGTGCCCATCATATGGTTTTCAAAGTTGCCTATGCATGAGTCTAAATATAGATAATTATATACCTCTCTAGCGAAACATTAGCAGCTAATATGTTGCACATTTCAAGTATCAGTATAATTCAAATTGCAGATGCTGGTAGTAAAAAAAATATATATTACTTATTAGGCCTAGACAGTTTGTGTATTGTCGTTTACTACAAGTAAAATTGTACTCTATACAGTAAATTCAACATACAATTGCTGACTAGATCTGAATAAACATTATAATTATGCATAAACTATCCTTCCCCATTAGAGATGTGAATAAGATGAATCAGATACTAAGTTGTGTAATAAGACTTTATTATGCCTGGGGACGTACTGTGACAGGTTGGAAAGCAATTTACTTGCCCATATAGGTATAGAAATTTACAATTAAGGACTGAGTGGTGTCAGTGGAGATATAATGCTTACTGTCATCAAAAAACATGACAGTTTAATGTATTTTTAAGATATATTTCATACATGCAGTATGCTATGATTAATGAGTGATAATGTATATTGCTTTAAGGCATCCAATCCCGTCAAACCTATGTACTGTTATGATTTTTTTTTTTCAAAACCCTGTCATATACTGAGCCAGTAGAGGTTCATTGCAAGAGGTGTAGTTACTAATATTTACATATATTTCAATGCATTGGGGAGCATTGACTGAATACAATCTAAACTGTATTATACAAATTTAGCTTTTTTTTAAGTATGTGATGTATATGGCGTCTCAATCAGTAACATTCGGATAAATAAATATACCGACATTTTTTTATGACTTTTGCAATATATTTCATTTCATATCAAGTTTACCGATTACAGTATTTATTTGATTAAATGCCCCAGGGTGTTTATTGTTGAGGTTTTTTGAGGGGTGTTTATTCGAGGGAGCCATTTTTTTCTTTTTTGTGTAAAATTGATACGTATGCTCAAATAAACGCCTTTTAATTTCACTGTAACTGTGGTACTACAATACAGTTGCCAGGTTAGAAAAAATGTAATTCGCTGGGAAAAAAAAAAAGTGTGGGGCATTTATTCGAGGGAGGCGTTTATTCCAATGAGGCTTTAGAGAGGGAGTTTATTTGAGGGGGAATTTTTTCAAAGCGGGTCATTTATTTTAATAAATAATATGGTGGTAACAGTGGTGGTTCCAGAAATTTTCCGCAGGGTCCAAATCAAAGTGCATAGAGCTTCAGTCAAGCCTATATCTCTTGTCCTTTTTCACTGCCCTTGCTTATGCTTGTAGTTTGCTGCTTATTACTCATTTGCCTCCTTGATCCAGTTCCCAGTGGCGTATATAGAGAATGCGTGGGGTGGGGTGCACCCCACCAAAAAAAAACAAAAAAAACACAAAAAAGAATCAAATTAATCCCCCACCACCATTGAAGATGTTCGAAGCCAAAGAAAATCATGATCAATTATAGTTAAGTCACCTTATTTTGGAAGCTGGTGATTGTCCACACAGTTTTGTCTTGATATCAGAATCATATTTTATTTGTCCTTTCGGAAATTAAATTGGAACACAATTTCTCTAAACATACACCTAAACATTCACAAAATTTAACACACATACCTATAAAAATAAAATCAAAAGACATCTTAAACTACTGAAATATATATGACTGACTGTCTTGCAAACAGACTATGAGTTGCTAATTAAACGAATGCGCTAAAACGATCTTAAATATTTGTATAGTTGTGGAGTGGGTTATTGGCGTTGATGGTGAAATGCACATCTCAATGGCCACATAACCATCTTCATCACCTCCCATTGTCCAGAACACAGCTGCAAGAAATGTTACATTCACGAAGAAGCAAGAACGTATAAGCCCTTAAAAAGATACATTGGCTTAAAGTCAATTAACGAACATCTTTCAAGATATTGCTTATAACGTATTACGCGCTCAATGGTCTTGCCCCTAATTATATTTCCAATTTCCTCAATCCTAAATCTACTCCTTCCCCTATTTAGATCATCAAATAAGCACCTCCTTGAGTAAGGCAGGTGGATACAATAACCTAGGTAAAAGTACTGTCATATTCGCCGCCCCTCCATGGAATTCCCTAAGTATTGAAATTTAAAAAAAAATATTAATATGTAAACCTTATAGGCTATCTTCTGTGTCAATTTAAGAAAAAGTTAAATCCGTAAATAGTCATAATGGTCTATACAAAAATAAAAGGAACGGTATTAATCATTATTTTCAGTTGATTACTAGCCTCTTCTTTCTCTATGCTAGCCTTAAACTTAAAAAGAAATTTTAATTCTATTATTCATTATTGTTTGGTTCAGACCAGGGAACAGTTAAATTACAACTGTAATTGAACTGTTTCCTGGTTCAGACAGTATCTGAAATTTATTCATTTCATTAAAAGTGATTTACTGTATTCAGGAAGCATCTCTGAACCGCAAGCTGGACTGGAGACCTCTAGTTGCTATAGGAAGCAAATATATTGTAACGGCATTATAATTATCGGGAAAAATGTGTTGGAAAATAGACTCTCGTAGTACGGTAGAATTCGGTAGCAGCCGTCGCTCATCGAGTAATTGACGATGGATATACAGTATTTTCGTTAGTCCTCATCTTACTTGATGTCAGCCGAAATACAGTACTGTATAACCATAGAGAAAATATGGTATAACATACAACATTCGATTTGTGTATTGTTTTTAAAAGACATTGACCTTGGAAGGGTTGTCTCATTTCCTTGCTGAGTTCAAAGTATCTTCAGGGCGGATATTGTTAGAGTTTAATCTCAAGAAACTTTCCGTGCACCGGATAAAACCCATCCGACGATAGGAAATTGTGTGAGATTCCCTTATGCCTTACAAGATGAACCAAACGGTCACATGACGATGATTGTGGAATTGTTGTAGGCCTATGAAAGTTCTATTAGTAATGAGTTAAGCTTCGTTTCCATAGAATCGTTACATTGTTTTGTTTTTTTTTTTATTTCTTTATTTTTCCTTCACATCTAACAGCAAGTACACTCACCACTTATACAGGATGGAACGATGCTTTATAACCAAGTTTGTTTAAAGACTTAGGGAGTGGAGTTGTTTAAAGTCGTGAGAAAAAGTCCTGCTGTAATTGAATAATTTTTAAATTTATTTTTTAATTGAATTTTTTATATTTAAGCTGCAATAATTTTAATTGTAATTATTTTTAATTGTGATTTTCTTGAATGTCTTACACTGGAATTTTATAAACTATTTTCGTACTATATTTTGTATACTAAATTAAGAATTATACTGAACTGATGATACTTTATTTAACCAGCAATTTTCTCTCTGCACTTCTTTGGAATATTCTGTACCGGTATATATTTTTACCTAGTTAAGAAAATTTATACAATGATTTTTAAACTGAAATTTTTTTAATCTAACTGTTGATATTTTTTTCTGTTTCTTTGTCATAATGTTTAGCCATAGGTAGTTTAGTATATTCCAATGTGAGTTTGCGTCAGGAAAATATCATATGAGTGATGTTTTGCCCTGCGTGACGTATTATCGTACCGAATACTCAGTATAGGTCCCCAAATACTAGCGAAGCCAAATCGCAAGTGATTTGGGTGGGAATCGAACCCATGACCACCTGATGCAAACTCACATCGGAGTAGCATTTGCAGTACCCGCTGCTATTTGGGATCGAATTCATCACTATTTGCCTAGCGCAAGCTCGGTGATCTAGTAGTTAAGACATCAGGCCACGATGGAGGTCGTGGGTTCGATTCCCACTCGAATCACTTGCGATTTTTTTTTCGCTAGTATTTGGGGCGTACTGAGTATTCGGTAAGATAACACGTCAGGTAGGGCAAAGCATCACTCCTAGTTTAGTATAGGTGAGGTATTTTATATTTTAACCACCATCCAAGCCAATGATGATGATTATTATTATGACAATGACGGTGATAATATGAGATATAGAGGCGAATAGGGAGCTGTTGCCATTTTATTAGGCAGAGAAGTAGAACACAATGAACGAACTACTGTTGCTGTCTCTTATACACATCTGAAGCAAGAACGTATAATATATTTATTTATATATATTTATATATAGACATATATATGTAATAAACATAGGCTATATATATAGCCTACATATATTATATGTATAATATATAGAATATATAATATATATACATACGGTATATAATATATGATATATATGATATATATATATATATAAATTTATATATATATAATGTACTATATAAATAAAACATGGATGCAACACCAATCAAATATTGCACGGTATTCTATTTCATGGTATCGCCAAAATCCTCTCTACCTGTTACAATAAAAACACAATACAAGTTCCAAAGTATTAAACGACGTCTGCAGCAAACTTAGTTAGCGATATTAAAACATCACTCAAAATATATAATATAAATTATACGTTTTAAATACTGTACTGATAAAATAACCTCTCGGTGACATTTGGCAATTTAAATTGTTTTTATTGTTTTCAAGCAGGTAAGTTTTTAAGTTCCAGTTCTTCATCCGTGTCTATTATGCTTTCGTCGTCATCATCCTCGTCTTCATCGTCATCCCCAAATGCTAACATACTATCAATCTTAGAAGATATTATGTTTCCAAGTTTACCTCGCCGTTCCCGTTGCTTATCAAAACGTAGGCCTAGCATAGAAATATCTCGGTAAGACTCTTTCTTCTTCATCTGTGCTGCCTTACGTTCCTCCATCCGTTTCCGCATCACAAGGAACTTTTCTTTTTCTGTCAAAGGTTTCTTTTTTTCCACTGCTACTTGAGGCACAACATCTTCGATAATCTTGGGTTTTATTGAAGATCCTATAAGACGTTGTGATAGGGGTGATAACTCATTCAAATCGTTCTTGAGAACTGATGAAGCAGGACCAGTGCCACTGCGATTGGTAGGTTTTTCTTTCGGGTTATCGAATTGCTTCACATGGCCAATAATCTCTGGAATTAATGGTGTCTTCTCTGTACTGACTTCAGATTCAATGTTATTGTTAATCTCTGGAGATGTTGGTGTCTGTTGTGGTTGCTTATGCTCAATAACTTCTGGTTTCTTCACAGATTTCGCTATAGGCTCTTCATTGTTCAAATCATTCTCAGTAATCACTAAAATTGGCGAAAGAACGTAATTCGCTGGGGAGTCATTTTTTGTATTTGATTTACTGACCTTAAATTTAGTCTTTTTAACTTGAGGTAGAACTACCGGTAAGTCTTTAGGCCTACGTTTAGGCTTTGGTTTCCATGCTATCTTCCTTGATTTCGTCTTCCTCTGGGAAAAGAGTTCTGGCGGAGTACCAATGGGGACATCCCAAACTTTTTTCTTTTTGCTCAACTCCATATTTCGTATCTCCCTTATTCGTTTTTCCACTTCTTCAACATTCATCCCAATGATTTCGTGGTCATTTATATGTGCACGTAAATATTCGGCAGAGAAATTAAGTCGCATTTCGGGGATCGCATTGTCAAATACTAAAGTCTCTGGCTCACCAGCGCCGTGATCAACATCCTCTACGTTAAGTGGTTCTTTAACCATAAACTCACCATCTTGTAATACATCATACATTTTAATGTACCAATCATTGACGTCAAATGCATCACCAGTTTCAGACGGAATCGGGCGCTCAATAATCACTGCCGAATTCTTGCGCGCTTTTATTCCATCCAAATCTCGTCGTATTTCGCGCAATTTTTTGCATAACTCGAGAACAAGAATTTCTTTCGTCTCTATCAAAGTGCGATAAGTTGGAGAATTGCTTCTTGGATGATATCCTTCTTTGGATGGTGTCATTACGGTCTCCTCTCTTCCAAATACATTGCTTTGTTGTCCAATGACAGGTAAGAAAGATTCAAGCTCTAGGTCTGTCGGTAAAGATCTGGGTCTTGGTCTAGCATGACATAAAGTTCGTTGCCTTTGACATAGTTTAGGATTGCTGCCCAAACTTCTGATCGCCAAATCTCGACATAAAAGTCCATCGCTAATATACACATGGGAAGAGGCTTTTTTTCCAAACGGATAAATGCTTGATTTACTGAAGCCATATTGACATGTGCGATTTCCTGTTTTAGATAAATTGCACTTCAACTCACTAGCGTTTTTTGTCGAAAAAGTAGTTTTTGAACGGCCCTGGTAGAATATCCCTGAGTTACCATCAAATTGCATTTTTGGTCTGGTGGAGGAGAGGTGTGTTGTATCAGCGAACATATTGGAAGTACCGGATTTACTGTCTGGGCCTTCTGAAGCCAATGACCTAAAAATAATAAAAGAAGAATATATTTTTTGTGTCAAATTTACTTTTTAAAGATGAATATTCATGTTTTCATAATTGAAACGATTACACTTGTTACCAAAGACTTGCCAAACGTTAAACGACTTGTAAAGTTAGCAGCAGTTTAACCAGGACCTAGGCCTACTTTTTGAACATACAAACAAATCATAGAAACAGTGCTCAATATTATGGCAAATTTGACGTTCTGATTCTATCGAGTATAAAGCCTAGGCCTAGACCCTCATGTTTGGGAATTTCCAGCAAGGTCGTCGTGGAAAAATCAAATCTCGAGCACCAAAAGTACAATTCAAACTGCCTAGGAAGCTGTCCAATTTTAGGGATTGAAAACTGATTAGTGCAACAGTGCTAACGTATGTGCGAGGTGCTGTACGGTATACTATTGCGATCGTATCAGTGGTGGCGCCTTTTCTTCCTCGACAGGGGGATCATTAACACGCATGGTTTTCTATCAAATTATAATTTTTAGATAAAGAATCCCATAATTAACACAAATTTAATTGTTTTTTAATACAAAAATTATCCAATAAATTTAATTTTTCTTCCGACCGGGGGTGGGGTGGGGGTGAGGATCGGCTAGGCTTCCCCGAGGTCGGGGAGTTTAGACTCCTCTTCGGGATTCATGGCGTCGTCTCAGTGCGGACGCGTATTTAGCTCGTGGGAACTCCGGCGACTTTTGGGCGGAAACAAATTATGGTTGTGAGAACATTTGAATTTCGAGTATAGGAGTGTACCACTTATGTGGAATTGCTTTAAAACTACCTAGCATTTAGAAAAAAAAAACCAAGGGAAAGGGAATGATGTAGCAAACTGCGAGTAAGCATATGTGGGGGGGGGGGGGGGGGGGGGAATACGTGAATACATTGGACTTTTGTCTAATTCAAATGTAATGCCCGCGTACGAAGGTGTATACCAGCAGACAACGAACTATTGTGCCAATATCTTGAACGAAAAACATCCTTTACAATGTAATAAACCTAGGTATTAAAAAGCACAATAACTCAACAAACCTGATAAACGATTGCCTGTTGGCCAACATCTCTCTTATATTAGCAAAGATAAATCTTACAAAAGCCACTGCGGCGTGTACACATACTGACAAAAGGACTGAAATCTTTTGAAGCAACAAAGCCCTATGTCCCATGACGGTCTTTAAGCCTTTCTCTTTCTTAAGGTCTATTGAAGGAAGGCATATGTATACAATCCTACTCAAATACTATATACAATGGTGTTAAAGGGGTTGGTCCGCTTAAGATTATATAGGCCTATCTTTTCTTTTAAATATAGCATCTAACAATTACCAAGGATACAATTATCATATCCAAGATACGGACGCACACTTTATTCCCATGGTAACGAACATGTATTGCCATGGATACCAGGGAGCATGTTAACAAGAGTCCCCCTGTGGCTACGTGGCCTGAAAGCCTGCTTTTCTGACGAGTAATTCCATAACAATAGTGGGTTGGTGGTTAAGATGCCTGCCTTTCAATCCTATGGTCGGGCGGAAACAAATTATGGTTGTGAGAATTGAATTTCGAGTATAGGGGTGTACCACTTATGTGGAATTGCTTTAAAACTACCTAGCATTTAGAAAAAAAAAAAAAACCAAGGGAAAGGGAATGATGTAGCAAACTGCGAGTAAGCATATGTGGGGGGGGGGGGGGGGGGGTGAATACATTGGACTTTTGTCTAATTCAAATGTAATGCCCGCGTACGATGGTGTATACCAGCAGACAACGAACTATTGTGCCAATATCTTGAACGAAAAACATCCTTTACAATGTAATAAACCTAGGTATTAAAAAGCACAATAACTCAACAAACCTGATAAACGATTGTCTGTTGGCCAACATCTCTCTTATAGTAGCAGGCCTACATCTTGACTAATTGGTTTACAATGAAATTTAGAGAGGAAATTGTAGTATACAGTATCCACGCATAGCGTAGCCTGGTTTAATAGAGTAATTGTCTAGTTTGACCATAACTCGTATACCGGATAGATAAATCTTACAAAAGTCACTGCGGCGTGTACACATACTGACAAAAGGACTGAAATCTTTTGAAGCAACAAAGCCCTATGTCCCATGACGGTCTTTAAGCCTTTCTCTTTCTTAAGGTCTATTGAATGAAGGCATATGTATACAATCCTACTCAAATACTATATGCGATGGTGTTAAAGGGGTTGGCCCGCTTAAGATTATATAGGCCTATCTTTTCTTTTAAATATAGCATCTAACAATTACCAAGGATACAATTATCATATCCAAGATACGGACGCACACTTTATTCCCATGGTAACGAAAATGTATTGCCATGGATACCAGGGAGTATGTTAACAAGAGTCCCCCTGTGGCTACGTAGCCTGAAAGCCTGCTTTTCTGACGAGTAATTCCATAACAATGGGTTGGTGGTTAAGATGCCTGCCTTTCAATCCTATGGTCCTAGGTTCTCTCACAAGCGTTTCACACTCTGACTAAAAACATCTATAGGCCTACTCCCTAAGCCTCATAAAGAGGCCTATAATATCCCATCATGTAATTGGAGAGTTATGTACATACATATCTCACAGCGCTGTTTATAATACAACACTAAAAAAAAAAAAATTATAATAATAATGGGACTTATGAAGTGAAGTTGTTTTAGTAATTTGGTCACAGGAATTGAACCCAGGACGTGAAGACAAGCATGTTCTATATATATATATATATTTTTAATGCTTTCTCAGTCTTCTTCTTTTTTTTTGTTGTTATTGTTATATAAAAAAATATACTACGTATTGTCATTGAAAGTTACAGTAGATTGTGATAAGGTAAATGGGGGCGCTCTTCTTTTATGAATGTATAATAGGGCCTATATAAATATATTTTAGGAATGTAGGCCTATATATAGGCCTATATATATAATTACATTCATATATATATATAATTTTAAATTCGGCTAATCTGGTGGTAGTCACTGTGTGTCCGCTGAACCGTGGAGATCTGTAGGTCCCCGGTTCAATTCCCATCGCTGCCTCTCCTTGTGTTTCAGTTAGAGGGCCAAAATACAAGTTACATAGCGCACCGACTTTCGGATGAGACGTTTAAGCCGTTGGTCCCGTGTGAATTTATGGCCCATGTGCACGTTAAAGAACACAGTACACTCTTCGGAAAAGAGTAGGGGATTGTCTCCCAGTGTACTGTCCAATCACCACCAGAATGACCCCACTGGAAACAAGTCTTCCTCTAGACTTTCGTGGGCTATCCTTTGTGATTACACCGAATAAATCCCAAAGGGTATAAAGAGGAATCTGTGAGTTACAACATTACATTACATTATATTATATATATATATATATATATATATATATATATAGTATATATACATATATATATATATGTATGTATCTTATACACATCTAGATGTGTATAAGAGACAGTAACACATGATGGTCGTTGTGGTTGGTTGTGTGGTAATTCGGTCCCGCCATTTACTACGTGGGAGATTGTTTCAACATAAAAAGCTATAATAAATTACGTTTGAAATATTTGACAACCTGAATGCGAGCGACATACTGTACCCTTGTAGGGTCAATGCGGTCACCGAATCTTATTCGAATAAATGCCTCCTTTATATGATGAGCACACACAATTTTAAACTACACTACAGTATATTTGTTCCCGTTCCTCGACCTACAACTTAACATTAACATTGTCCGTGATATATAAAATTGAAGATTTTGAATTGTTCTCTTTATGTACTTAAACAATTAAGATATTAGATTTCAATTAAAATTTCATCGTAGAGTAATGGACTTAAGTTATTGTATTGCATGGTAATTGGCAAGAATGCAGCAAAACGTGTGAAACCCGAATTATTGATCTTTATCGTATCTAACTTAACCTACACTTGATGGAATATTTTGGATAACAAGCAATGCTTATTGTGCTATTGTGCTCTTAGAGCCAACAAAATACTACAGTAGGCTTTACCTATCTTCCGCCATTATTTTATGAAACAATTAACAACTGGGGGGTAGGCCTTTTACCAGTCAGAAATTAAATTCGTTCATGGAATGTATCTTTTTTTTTTATTGCGATAACAAACAGTTGGTGTGCTGTACTTTCGACCCCGTTGAAAATATATTAGGCCGATTACTTTATGAGTAATTGGTGGATTGAATTAAATGAAATGAGAAAATTGCATAGCTAGAAATCCTGGCGAAACTCATGATGAAGTATTATAAACCATAAACGATTAAGATCTCGTAGTTTCTGTGCCATCCAAATTAGTGATTTCATATAACCACGTCGGCATGGTATTTTTAAACCATAAGTTAGCTTAAAGGTTTAGTATATGTACTCGTTTAGAAAGCATTTTATAATTAATACAATAAATACAACTTACATAGGCCATAAGTTTCACTCAGTTATTAACTCCACACTCCATTCACCAGCACCACTGCATACAGTAGAAACCATCATAAAAAGGTAAGTGGTACGCTTTCGGTTATAGATATATCCCACGGGGAATTGCTGGTTTTGAGCACTGTAGTGCAACGTAATGATTGTTGAACTTCAACTCTCTATTCATTAAATTTTTTACTGGACTTCGTGATTCGTGGGCAAACAATTGAAACAGTAAACTGTGCGTTGCTTGGAAATCACTAAGGGCACTTGGTCTATTGATATAAAAGTGCTGGAAATATCAGATAAGTGACACGCTGTACTTAATTCGCACAGGAAAGTAATAACTGCCATGGATGCGTCGCGTCATCACGCATTATTATGTGTGTGCGTATAATTAATGCAGTACTACCTTTTGGTCCTACTGTAACCAATCATACGAAGGCGCGCTCAGAGTGTTTACATTTTCAACAAGAGGAATCAACCAATTAACGTCGGTCGCGTACCATCGGACCAAGAAGGCTAATTTTGTTTTCTTTTACAATTCATTTTCGTTGGTAAAATATATGCTAAAATTTCTCAGAACAGCTGAAAATAACACATTTCAAAGGTTTTTCAGGCCCCAACAGGGCTTCACCCCCGCTGGTCTTCTCCTTCAGAAATCCAGACCCTGTCGGACAGCTTATTTTCCCTTCTCTTGAACCACCACTGGTTCTATAGTAATTATTTATCCATCTACATTAACAGACTTCGTTCATAAGCAGTTGTTAAGTTTGCTTGGTTAGTGCGAGATGCCTTCATTAACCAGAATTGACATTTGATAAACTTGACAAAAGGGTGACTGAAAACTTAGAGGTTGACCTTGCAGCCTTTCATAGTTAATTGTTGGAATACCTCCATAATATGATACAATAGTTTCAGTGTTAAATGTGCATATTTCATGCACAACATACTCAAAGACGTGTCCCGCTGCATTCGACACAGCCATTATAATCAATATCATAAACTCATTACAGAATGATTTGAATTAGTTAAGTGGGCTCAGTTATAAACTTACAATGGTACATTTTTCTTAACACAGTTTCTACCTGTCTCTTATACACATCTAGATGTGTATAAGAGACAGATATAAATCCATCTATTATTATTATGATAGCACAAATGACAATCCTTGGATCATAAGAGTTTACTTCATTAATTTTAAATTGTAAATAATAAAAAAATGAAATAGAAATATTAAATAATATTATAAGTAACAAAAAAATGAATAGGAGTTGCAATGTAAGCTAATTAACACTGAATAGGATGGAGGTCTTGAGAAGTCATAATTGAAATTCCATTAAGAGCGGACTTTCTGTACTGGCACCCCGATGGCAAAAGGGTGACTGAAAACTTAGAGGTTGACCTTGCAGCCTTCCATAGTTAATTGTTGGAATACCTCCGTAATATGATACAATAGTTTCAGTGTTAAATGTGCATATTTCATGCACAACATACTCAAAGACGTGTCCCACTGCATTCGACACAGCCATTATAATCAATATCATAAACTCATTACAGAATGATTTGAATTAGTTAAGTGGGCTCAGTTTATAAACTTACAATGATACATTTTTCTTAACACAGTTCCTACTTTTTGCATAGACCCCTTAAATTGTCTGATAATCAATTTAGGGAAATCGAAAGTGCAAATCAGGATAGCACATTTGGTTTACATGTTTTCCTCGGCAGGTGGTTACCAAATGAAATGCGTGACTACACCAGTTGGTTCGGAGGGGGGGGGGGCGGCCACTAGGGCCACCGCCGAGGTCCTGGGCCAGAACCAAGGTGACGTGTTTAGTCACATAATGAATGGTTGGTTGTGACAATGTACACGCAAGACCGCACGCGCATCCTATATTCTACTAAGTGCATGGTTGGCTGAGTTATTTTGGTCGAAAAAGATAAATTTCCTTGGTGAACCGATTCTCGAACGAGTTAACGAAAGCTCTCTAATGACTCAAGTTCCTGCATGACCGTTTTTAAATATTTTAATAAAACCAATTTCTTCTGATTTCAAAAAACATTTTCCCCTGAATTCGTGTGCATAGACGTGTGCTAAATGTGTGACAAATTTATGATCACACATGTGTTCTGCTAAATGCGTGTTTCATCCAAAATCACTTTAAGATGCGAGACGGTTGGTAACTATGAGGTAATACATTATTTAGTATTTTAATCGATATAAAAAAAATGTCTTTCTACATTTTATGACAGATGGTATATCTTTAAGTATTTCATAACACTGCTGTTGGGCAAAATTAGAAAAAGGCACTTTAGACAATAATGTCCTCAATCAATTTGGTGATTGGTGTTTCGTCAATGGCACATTCGACCTCAATAAGTTGATGAAGGAAGACTTATTATCTATCACTGGTGAATTCCTATCATGTTGTGTATCAAGTCTGGTAAAAAAACGTAATAAAAAAAACCCCTTAATTGTGCAGTATACAAAAATCAATGAAAAGAACTTAGAAATTGTTTATACATTTATTATGCATTGGAAATAATCAGATCATACTGGATTTGTGTAACATATGTGTATCAATTTTTTGCCAAAATTTCAAAGCCGCTTTTGCTCTCATCGATTGCTGGTCATTGGATACATAATCGTTTATATGTTCAAGTCACTTCACTCACACGGAATATTCTACATAATCAGGATAAACCAATTTTATCTACCGTATATTCCTGGCTAGAGTTGAATACAAGGTTCTTGGTTCTATATAGCTGATAACACCTAAATTGGGACTTGGGACAAGGTGCATTATTGACAGTTAATGAACTGTAAAGTGCCTTGACCAATTACCAAGTATGCAATCTTTTAACCAGCCTTGAATCACAATTTTTACTGAAAGCCTTTGCAAATCCAATGATTAAATAATTAAGCATGAAATATATTGCAGCCCTATAATGGGTTTAATATTGCTATATTATAAAATTTTATAAAAGTAAAAAAGATAAGTTTATAAAACATTTCTATCTGCATGGATCGTTCTCATTTGATTGGTGAGGATCTGTCATTGTCATCAGCTGACTCAATTACTGATTGGTTGTTTTGCATTTCACTGAGTAAAGATTCTGCCCCACTGTCTTGTAACAAGCTATTTGATTGGTTGTTTTCAGACTCCATCATTGGTAACAGGCTACTTGATTGGCTGTTGGTTGTGTCACTGTCTGAAACTTCAGTGCAGGTTACGATATTGCTCTTGGTTGTCTACAAAATGATTGAATTAAGAAGTGAAAAATGATACAGAAAAGATCTGCCTTAAATTAGTGTAACTGATACTTGACTTAATCAATCAAATGTATAAACAAAACTATAAATTACTAATAGAATATAATCCCCTCCTTTCCCCCACTGATGCTGCCACTGGTCACATTCCCTAATCCAATTCCACCTGGGAGTGGACACTGAATGTTAGTTACCTTGGTTGTATTTATCTGTGACAGCAATGTATTGGCAGATGACTCTGTTAAGCCTTCACTGCTGTGGGCATCTGTAACACAGTAACATAACAAATATGAATATAAATCAAAGGTGTATTCATAGTGGTTAAAAACATTAAAAAACTGAATATTTCATATAAAAAGATCAATTAAGTGATTAACATTCTATGAGACATAGACCCCGTAAATTTACAAACTTCATCCTGTTTAGTCCTTCATGTTAAAATGCAGCAAAATCATAGAGTATATTATAATTTTCTTAAATAAAATAGTAACTTTACAACATCCTTAAAATGTATAATGGGCTTGAGGAATAATGAGAGAGTGTGAAATTAGGCTGAACTTGAAAAGGCATCATCCACTGCTTACTGTCCTGTTGGATTTATTACCTAATAACAATAACCAGTATCTTACCTATTGGAGAGCTTCGAGACACCCCCACCCCTTCCTCTGCACAAAAAAAACCCCCAGGTTTTCCCCATCCTCAACTACAAATTCACTGGGCAAAAACATTGACACTGAAGTAGTTAAAAATCACCTTTGAGTAGGTACTGGTACTGGTTGTGTACTGTAGGTACTTACCATCCTCCACTTTCCCTGCTGGCTCAATCCAAGATGTCAATTCATCATCTTCATCTTCAATTTTCTTTCCAATGATTCCAACTTTATGCTGGAAAAAGATCAGATGCTTACTATAAACACAATACATCAGAAACATGTATTTTAAATTTTATAAAAATGGGAATATAAGTATGGGAGTATAAAGTAAATTAAACATGATCATTCCACAGCAATGGTAAATTTATAACATTATGCAGTGTTACAAAAATGGGAGTATAGTAAATTAAACATGATCATTCCACAGCAATGGTAAATTTATAACATTATGCAGTGTTACAAAAATGGAAGTATAGAGTAAATTAAACATGATCATTCCACAGCAATGGTAAATTTATAACATTATGCAGTGTTACAAAATCTTTTTTAAAGATCAACTCATTTACTATTATTTTTATTTAAATTATGAAAATACTACTTTTCTTTCCAAAACAGTCCCAGTTAGAATAGATTTCTTAAATCATAATTTAATTATATTATTTTATTAAAATAATTATTTATTTTAAAAATAAGTAGAGAAAATTGTACTTACTTCTAGGATAAGTTCTCCCTTTTCAACAGCTTTGTTGATTTCATGTTTGTAGTTTTGAATGTTATTGATGGTAGGGAAGTACCTGGGATCATGTCTATCGGGGCTCTTCTCAGCTTTAAATAGATCTTGCAGAACATATTGCCTAAGAGCACAGAGACTAAAATTAGCATTTCAAACTTTTGCATGACTATCACTTAAAACATGGGTGTACAAAGACTATGTGTTCAAACTGTGTTGACTATATTGGCTAGGGCAGAATTGGTGGGGTTTACACTGTGTTTGCTGACTGTGTGGATACAATGTGTAATCTTACCCACACTATCATCACACTTGTACTATATGTTCAATCTGAGTACACACAGTGCAAACCTCACTAATGGACCTTTCCACAGTGTCAATCGAACTTAACAACCGACCAATCAGAACAGGGCCAAGAAAATGCGCATGTTTAAAAAGCACATGTGCATATGTTTTAATAATGTCATTTTTTGGGACCTTAGAAACATTATCCAAGGGGTGGAACTTAACGGAAAGGTCTATTCAACCCAGTCAATAAAAAAACTGTGAAGACAGTCTTTCACTATGTGACATTTTTCAAAGGGTGTATAGCATGTATATAATTGACTTTAACCATTCCCAGCAGGAAAGGATGGATAGAATACCTTGGGGTGAAATACACCAAGGAAAATCCATGAAAGTCTGAAGACATATTTCTAGTAGGGTTTTTTTCTGGGGGATGAATTGGTCAGTACACCATGAGACAATGCCTTAAGCTTTTCCAAAGAGTGTATGGTATGCCATTGAAACTTGCATTTCAAACCTCCAGCTGATACACAAGGAGAGATTGAACCGAGAACAAATATCTCCACGTTTCAAAGCTTTGTAAAAAACATCCACTGTTCAATGCACATACAAGTGGCTACCACCAGTTTAGCAGACTAAGCTACACTAATCAATGGTGATGTTGGTAGTCTATGAGTGGATTCTTACCTAGATAAACTGACTAATTGTCCTTTAAAGCCAATCGCGGTTGCGGCTCCACCCGTTGCGGTGGATGGATGGATATATTTGGTATAAACACCAAGGATAATCCACAAAAGTTTAAAGAAGACTTATTTCCAGTGGGGTACTTCTGGTGGTGATTGGGCAGTACATCCGTTGACAATCCCCTATTCATTTCCGAATAGTGTATGGCGTTCTTTAACGTGCACACGGGCTGCAATGCACACGGAACCAACGGTCTAAGCGTCTCATCCGAAAGACGGTGCGCTGTTGTAGTACTTGCATTTCAGCCCTCCAGTTGAAACATGAGGAGAGGAGCAATAGGAATCAAACCGAACAATTGTCCAGTGGGGATGGGTAGACTGGCGGTGGTAGTGACATCAACATCGCACACATACCTCACAGGGTCACAATCCACAGCAGAGTGGCAAAGCTGCAGGCAGAGCTGCCTGCATAGCCATGGAAATCACTGCCATGAGTTGGCCGTGGAGCCTGCCACACCTGCAAGGGCAAGCGGTGGCATCGGCACACAAAGGCTCTACAGGAAGCACCAGGGACTGAAGCTGCAATGGGTGGAATCGCAACTGCGGTAGGCTTCAAAGGACAATTAGTCGGTTTAACCAGGTAAGTATTTACAAAGTAGACTGAGCTGCTCTCTATCTATTTGAAAGAGGACAAGGAACAAAAATATATATTTTTATAATTATGCTACATAAATTTGGCAAATGATGCATCGATGTCTGAAACCCATTCATTTTCATAATATTCACATTACCTTAACTTGGATCGAATCTGGAAATCATTTGATATGCCTTCACTCATAAGATCTTGGATTTTCTTAGCAACTTTTGGATTCATCCGCTCCTCTGGGGGTGTTTCTTGTCGTTGCAGCTCCAGCATCGGTTGCAGAACATTTTCAGATGTGATTGGTTCGTGGTAATCATGGGCCTGAATTGTGGGTAATTGTACATAGCATCTGAATAAAAAATCAAGCAGTGGCTAAATTTAGTTTAACCTACATCTTTGTAAGCAATGTAAAGTGAGAAGGTGTTTTTTTCCAATCTGTATAGAAACCAAACTTATTGCTTAAAGGTGATCGAAACTATAACATTTTGAAACTCATCTCAAAAGAGGGATCATGTTGTTGAAAACATATTTTAGTACAATACTATAAATAAAAGCATTCTTTATTCTCAGTCTAGGACTGGGTAGATCAATCATCATGCTATACAGATGTCGTAAATCATTGTCAAACCTAACAGAGGGAGTGTGAGCTGAACAATCACTAACCTTTCTACACCTTGAGCCTGATCAACTCCGACCTCTTTAATTGATTGGAAAATTTTATCATGTTCTTTCTTATCATTTGCATTGCCCGCTTTATATTGAATAAACTTTTTCACCTTCTTTATATGAATTCTGTAAAAAATAAAAAAAGTTGAGTAAATAGATACAAACACAACATTTGATACATTGGACCACTGAGGGCAGCATATCAATTGTGTCAATAAATGTTAATTAGTTACCTTGCAGGACATGATGTTTTGAAGTGTTTGGAACTCCCACTCTTCCAAGATTTGCTCTTCCTCCTTGGACCAAACTGACACTCCATTGTCACAGCCCTGCTGCCTAAAAAATACAAATCAGAACAACTAAAAGTCAAGATATTTATAAAGTAGAAATCATCTGTCTGTGATGAGGTCTATTCAAATGGTTAGTGTGTGAACAGCATTACATATCTAACATGATCAACTTACACTAATAAAATAGTATTTTAAATAATTCACTTGCAAACACATTGGAGATCAGACAGAAGATAGTGGCTTGGTCATGTACTAAGAAGATCTGGTGTTTATTTCAACTTACCCATGTTCACAAAAGGAACGCCATCATATGGGACATACTGTGAGCGCCACATAAGGCGTTTAGATGACCGCTCGGCACTCGGCGATTGACGGGTACCCCAGAAACTCCCTGTCTCTTGTTTATGGAATGTTAATAGTAAGTCCAGCTCAATATCATTTTCAACATATCCTCTGTAGGATGTACCAATTTTCTGCAAATTAGGTTATAAAAATGATTGTTTTGGAATTTGTTATATCAAATTCTATGAATAATGTACATTTATTAGTCCACCACACATTACTAGTGGTTTCAATCACTCAGAGCTCATAGTGATACAGTGGCCTATGTATCTTACCTCACAATCGCTCAGCCTGGCAGCCCACTGGGGGCAGTCTGCTGGGGGAGCCTTGCAGCTTGTCTCCACTAATTTAATGGGTATCGGTATCTGTCCAGGCTGAATAATAACACCTGTAAAACACATCAAATAAATTACAATTATTGAATTACCAATGCCACAATTCTTCTCAATTGTTCAATTATTTCTGGTTATCAATGAAATGTTTTCAAACATTTGTAAATTAAACTGAATAATTAAAAACTTTACATTTGGAAAATATTAATAACAATATTAAGTTTGTTCACTGAATTGATACAGTATTTGAATACAGTAATACATAATTCAACATCAGTCACATATAACATAAAAGTATATACCCATAATAAAAATATTCAAATGATCTGACATACACAAATAGAACAAGAGATAACTAGAATAAAATAATTAAGAACCCCACATGATTACCAAATATTGAAAATAATCAATGTCATAAATGGTTCTTTGGGGGTGGTTGTCAATCATCTAAATATTCTATTAAAAGGCCTTAAAAAAATTGTTTTTAAAGAAAATGACACTTGAAAATCAAGATCAATAAGTCAACAGTTTTAGTCAAAAATCAAAAACATTTTCGTGAACAAAAAGGGTTTTTTGTTGTAAAGATAAAATCTTCTGTGAAACTCACTACTTGTACTCATCTTCTTATCTCCAGTGATTGGTACATAGGTGTACACAGCTTCAACTTTTAACCTTTGATCTTTATCACTGCTACTATCGTGTGGTAAATCTATCAGTATGGGTTCCTCCATCTCTTCATCATTATCTTCCTCTTCGGCATTCTAAGAAGAAATTTTCATATTGTGAACATTACTACAAATTAATTCATGAAAAAAACTAGAGTCCAATTCCACGAATGTAGTTGATCCATGGCTGTGCTATGTTGATTGAAACACCGGTTCTCAATGTTCAACAACATTGAGGCCTATTAAATTATTGACTGGGAGACTATGTTAAGAAAGTATTTCTTCTCGGATGATCACTATGAAGTTTCATGTGCCCACTGAATACCCTACTGATTCTGTGCACTCAAAACAAGAGCAGATCCTTTGACAAAAATAGTCAATCCATCTCTGACCTTTCCAAAATACTCCACTGAAAATGTGTGTTTGGAATATCGGGGGTTATTCTCTGTGTGACTCGCATAAAAGAAACTAATCAACCAACCATGTACAGTATACAGTACTAGATTTCCATAAATTAAGGAGATTTATCATTTTTATAAACTTTGTCATTTCGAAGACAATACAGTTCAGAAGTATACATAAACAAAAACCAAAAATGATATATAAAATATTAAGAGTAACAAACAATGAAATAAATATATACATGCAAACAAAAAAATACAAAATATCAAAATACTGCAAATAAGTAATCGAGTAAGAATGTCAGAAAATATGCAAGTACTGTAAAATAAAAAGTAAATAAATATACTGTAATGATGGCCAATACTAACACTGAAGCTCGCCTTGATATGGGCTCTGTGATTTTCATTCAACACAATTACAGATGTTGTCCTCGGTTGGACGACTTCTCCTGTAGTGACTATATCACCATACAGTTTAGACTCGTCAGTTGTTGTCCTCAGGTCGACGACCTCTCTGGACTCTATTGCAGAGTTGACTATGTCTTCATCTTCACACAGTAATTTAGACTCGTCAGACATTCCTATCGCTCGGTTCTGAACTTTTTCTAACAAAGTGATATTATTTATAAATTGAGGAGGTTATCATTCAGTAAATGCAAGCTGTATTAAACATTAAATTTTGAGGTTTCATGTTTTTGGATTTCCTTTTCCGAAATGATTGCAAATGGACTAGGCCTGTTTTAGGCTTATAATTAAATTAAAAAGGAATAAAAGTGATTTGTGATAATTGGCTGAGTGGTATTTAATTGAGTGGTATGCAGTAGGCCTAGGCTAGTTTGCTAGCTGGGCTTGCTGAAGTGGGAGTTGGTCGATGGGTTCGGTTGATGTAATAATAGGCCTAGGCCCTAGGCCAGGGTCCTCAGCCAGGGACTGACCAAATGAGATTCCTGCCCAAATAAATAATAATAATACTACTTAGGCCTACTTACTGTAGGTCTAGGATAGGAATTGCCTTTAGCAAATATTCACAACCCAGGATCTAGGCCTAGCCATGGCCTTCCGTAGGCTATTCTAGGCAAGGGTAGCAGGCTAGGCCTAGCCAAGCCTAGGCCTAGTAAGTAACGGCCCTACCTAGGCCTAGGCCCTAGCTAGGGCCTAGGCCTACCCAGGCCCAGCCCACTCCTCTGCTGGAGCTAAAAATGCAAATCTTTCGTCGGTCAGCCATATTGACAAGCCTTTGACTTTGTTTCTCTTTATTATACAGTCAGTTCAAACAAATAAGAGAAATGTGCAGTTTTATTAAATGCATATTAAAGTCTGACTTGACCGTGAACAAAGTTTGTTTACAATGTACAAACTGCGGGAGAAAAAAAAATTGAAAACGAGACACAAACCTCGACTTGAACCACGCCTCGATTTCAGATTTCGTCGATTCTGATGATTCGCGTCTTGGGAAATTGATGATGAGGCTATCGCAATAATGTTGAGGGCGCTAAACCATTCATTCAATCTTTTCGCAACCAAAACATGATCAATCAGCTGCAGTGCTTTTTGTTGAGAAGTTGCACAATGAAAGTAGCACATCCTCTTTCCGTTATTTTTCTCAGGATTTTACGTGGGAGTTGAAGACTTTGATAAAGATGCTGCACAAATTGTTTTCATATGTTATTTCTCATTGAGCTATTAAGTTAAATTGAAGTATTATTGAAGATGCCTGGAATGCTTGTATTTGGGCGCCGATGGTCTGTTGGAAGCGACGACATTGTCGTTCCAGCTCTCATCTTGCTCGTCTCCCACCTTACTTGGTGAGTGCAACTTCAGCATTGCATATTACATTTTGACTAGTAGTAGACTTAGAGAATTTTATGGTATTGAACATTTTATGTTGAAGTGGATATTTTGAAACTTTGTTTAAAAGTGCATAAGTAGTCATTTTATTTATTTGCCAAAGATGAAATTTAAGCTGATTAGCAAAGCTGTGTATGAAAACTTGTTGGATAGATTAGTAGAAAGTACCTGTCAAAAATGAGACCCTCTCTGAATTTGATGTCTAGATGGAGGTATAAAATTGATGTCATCCTGAAAATTATATAGGTCTAGGCCTTAGTCTAATTCTAGCCTATTAAACCCTGACCTAGTACATGGAGGTGCCTAGTACAGTAGTATTAAGGGGTTAAGTATTGGGTAGGTTGACCAATTTTTATGGCAAAGAAAACAAAATACAGTTGAATTTGCCTAAGTCAAATCCAAAATGCCATTGAAATATTGTTCAACTTAGATAAAATTTGACTTACGATTGTTAATTAATTAAAAACACAACAATTTGGAATGTAAAATTAGGTCGACTTAGAAATTATTTGACTTAGGCAAGGACGACCTAGGCAAGTTTAACTGTAGTGATATAAAACTTGATCTCTGAAAGGTGATTTTCAGGCGGTGAAGTTGTTGATTCATGCAACAACAGCAAGGTTGAATTTTTTGAACCAAAATCATGTCTACAACGGGAACCAGTCACTAGGAGGAGTGGATGCCACTTTGAGTGAATGCTTGTTCAAGCGGATGCCACTTCGAATGAATGCCTTTTCAAGTGAAAATGGATCCAATTTTGTGAACATTAACTTGTGCAAATTTTCCTATTTTGACCGACCATTAATTCTAATAGTATTTTGCCGTCTTCGAATTAGAATTTGCTATAATTTAGCTGTTTTTTTTAAAATAATGTGTTATTTGTTACATAATAGCATTTTTCTGCGAATAGATTATTTATTCTTACACATTTACAGTATTCAGGGGATGCAGGACACCCCTAGTCGCTCCTCCAATCCATAGAAAATGTTCAATTCAAAAAATCACGCTTAAAAATCATGTTATTTTGTGAACTAGCACCGCCTCATTTAATCATTGATTTACAATATATTTTAAATACAAGTTTCATTATTGTCCAAAAGAAAATACTGACTTAGAGAAAAATTTTATTGCATATTATAAACATTTTATGTAGACATATTCAAAATACTTACTATATTTAGAAACATTAAACATTAGCATTGGCTTTTTAGTGTATGACAACAGTAACAAAGAGAACAATCTCATTGAATTACATTGAAATACATCATAGCTTTTGGTAAGAAAAAAAAAGTTACTTAAAAAGTTAATTAAAGAGCATCATATTAGGGAACACTAGTTTCAATGTATGAAATGAAATAATAGTAATCGAGTAATGATTAGGATTGTGAATTTAATTTTTCTATTATGTTCAGGAACACACCTTGGTATAGTATGACCAGTTTCTGTTACCATTGTAAAATTAAAATTTTAATAAAATAAAATTACGGTATATGGATTAATTATAACACCAATCCAAACATACATTGATATGGTAGGCACATCAACATCCTCAAACACATTTCCTACTTCCCTGCCCTTTTCCATACGTACATTACTTTAACATGCTTCCTCCCAGGATATTCCATTTTCCTTCCTACACTGATACACCCACAAACCTACATACATACCCACATACATATTCATCATAGAGAGAGTGAGGAAAGGCAAAATCACATGAGTTACGGAAGAATGACTCAACATGTTTTCCCAAATACATGTAAAACACATCCGAGACAATCAAGACCTACTAAAGGTTAATTACCGTCCTGACTAGGTTATGAGCTTAAAGTGGCTGTCAAGTGCCATAATTCTAAATACTGTACCATGGATCTGTATTTGCTGTGTCTAAAGCCAAAAAAGCTGAGGAGTGTAATGGGCGTAGTTTCAGTAAACATTATAATGATGAATACAAACAAAATGATCAGCATGAACACTTAAACTTTAAAATTTTAGAAGTAGTGTAAATAATGCAGTAATCATTACTATTATTTGTTGATATTTATTTTTCATAGAATTATTCTTGATTTACCTAACTTCCCTACATGAAATGTGGCACCCTTTAGCTCTGTACTATGACTAGTATAATTAATGCAATTTGCTCTATGGTCAGTGTCCATTTACATTCATGTTTATGATTAATTACATACTTTTCTTCTGTTTTACAGATTTTATTATATTGCATGAAATTGCAAGGATTGGTTTTTCATAAACTTGTATTGTATTGATTAAAATATAGTACACCAAAGAAATCATTGCTTAAAATTATTATAATTATTATACTAACTGACATTTAAGATTTAAGATGGTGTTTGTATTTCTGTGGGAATGTCTGCAGGTGTTTTGCCTTCAATTAGTAAACATATAATTTAAAAAAAAAAGGTATCCTCATCAAAAAAAGAGGAAACAATAATGTTTTATATTGTCTTAATGTCAGTCGGTAATTCCAGATTGAATAAATGCTGCAAAAGTTAGGCTTTCTTTGGTTTTATTCACCGTATGATCACCAATAAAGATTTGCTTGTATCTCAATCATTTTTCAATGTCACTTTAACTAGATGCCCTATCCATCTTTGATTGATACTGGTTCATTATGAATGCTCATTATTATTGTTTCTTTGGTTATTTTTTAAAAAATATTTCATGATTTGAAATCAACAGATACACTGATTATTTAAAAAGATCACCCAATACAGTAGAAGTCAAAATGGCAAATCATAGCCTCGCTTTCTTTATTTGGACTTGCAATCATTCTGTGTTATGATTAAAAATATTGAGTGTCTATAGGGCAAAATTTAAAAACAGTTTATACAGTATTACCAGGTGTAACCCTTGCCTATCATTTCACTCAGAGTTATGTAGTCCTCACTGATCATCGCAGAAAATGCAAAACTAAGGCGTTTTTGTAGATATGCCAACAAATCTTAGTCCAGTAATAATCTGAATAAATTAAAGGGAATCCTAGAGGCCCAGGGATATAATGTTTTTATGTGACATCAATCAGGATGATGAATGGATGTTAAACCATGGTAGTAAACTTATCTTAAATTAATGAGAGAGAAAATCCTGATCCTTTTATTTAGGCCACTATTGATGAGACTGTCAAATTTATTTATGTTTGTTCAAAGATTAGTCTAATATCGGTTCTACTATAGTCTAACAATCAATAATGCTGCTATAATGAGGTTATGAAATGGATTATCATTAAAATGAACTTGCAGGCTTGAGAGTGTAATGCCGAGTTTACACTATCACGTTTTATGTGATAAATACTTGTGATTTGCTCGTTACAGGTGTGTTATGACATCATCATACCCATGGCTGTGATGACATCATAATGCTAATATTATTTGGGCAAATCACAGATATGTAAAAAAAAATTTGATAGTGTGGACAAAGTATTAAGCATGTAAAATTTTCAAATTTGTGACGTTCATTCATGTCCTAAGAGTTTGTGAAATAGCAATAAATTATACTAAAATTAATCGCTAAGTGCTACTGCAACTTTTGTTGTGTCATCAACGTTTAGATGGCTACACAACTGCTTTCTTCATCTCATTGAACATGTTTTTTTTTTGGTTATGACCTAACTACATTCATGTCTGGTTTTTATTGGTGTTTAAACAAATGTAATAACTGTACGTAATAAGCCACTGTGCAATGCTCATTTTTAAAATTCAAAATGTACATGATGCTAGTTTTATAAGGTTTGAAGATGAAAGCAACAATTTTTGCTTTTATATTGCCGCTACCCTGGTGTTGTTGGGCTCACCTCCATTCTTTTTTTTACTACTGCTATTGCTAACCTTGTCATCATTGTCCTATCATGGAGATAAAATAGAGGCCCAAACACCATCCCAATTATTATTTCTTCCTACCTCTTTGGTACTCTTTTTGCCATTACTGCCCAGTATCATTATGATCCTTGCTACAGTACATCATATTATACAGTACCTTGGATTAATTAAATGCACCGGTGTGACTAATAAGTTTCAGTAAATTCCACACACAATACAATCATTCTTGTCTTTCATTTCTCATTTGAGATTTATTATCAAAGAGTTAATGAATTGGAAATGTTCTTGCATTGGGGGTTGTATAGTAATAATAAGACTTTAAAAAGAACATTTGTTTGTGGTTTTAAGAAATAAACAGAACACACCTATTCCATTTGATTTGCTATAGGCAGGTATTTAATAATAAGCTTAGAAATATAATAATGAGGATTTTATGAGATTTAATTAATTTACGGATTACTGGTTGCTTACTGTACCATGAGCATTAAAGATCAGAGGAAGTGAGAGTGAGAAAGAGTGTAGTGTCTATACCTACAAGTATGTAATGCACTATTAAAATGTACTATATAAAACATTAAAAAAGATAATGCAATTCCAGGGTTGCAGCTGTAGAAAACTAAGGGTGTGTGATAGACACTTTAAGTGTGGGTAGGTGATAACATC